GTGTGTGTAGTGTGTGTGTGTAGTGTGTGTGTGTGTGTGCGTGTGTGTGCGTGTGTGTGTGTGTGTGTGTGTGTGTGTGTGTGTGTGTGTGTGTGTGTGTGTGTGTGTGTGTGTGTGTGTGTGTGTGTGTGTGTGTTCAAATCCGCACATACCGTCCATTTTCCGAAAATGACGGCTCGGCCGCTACGGCAAAGCGATAGAAGCGATTGAGAGGGATAGTCTTTAGCATTGGTGTAGGCATCAGGTACAGAGAGATGCTTGCTCCCAGAGCTTCCCGAAGTATCTGCGATACGGAAAAACACCATGAAATTAATTGGGGGGTGTTAGTGTGATTATTCCGCTACTAATTCAGAATAAGTCTGTGATTGGTATGCCACTAGTTAGAAAATCAAGAGTGTAGTTAATATATTCCTAGTGAGAAGATATCCGTGTAGTGCTTGCGCAGTTATGGTGTGTGGTTAGCTACGCATGTTTGGCAATACAGGTGTGGCTATAATTAATGGGGCAGTTCTGGGTGTCATCATAGTTAGGGGGGTGACTATGGGTTAAAACAGTACCCCATTGGTGGGATTATAGGGGTAGATATAATTGGTACGGCAATTCCGGGTGTAAACACAATTAGTGCGGCAATTATCAGTGCAATTAGTTACCCCTTATTGGAAGCATAAGTGTTGTTAAACTAGTGGGGCAGTTCTGGATGTTTTAGGGTTTTAGGGTTTTAAAGTTTAGGGTTTAAGATATCCATCATTGGAACTATAGGTGTATTTGACTGGCCAGCAAACTAAGGAGGTGCCTCAATGTTCGTCAAAGGGCAACAACTATTAGTACATACATACCCACATACAGACAAGTACGCATGGGCAGCTGGGCATAAAAACAAGGGACTGTTCATCGACACATGTACGTGCAATTGAGATTAAAGTGTGTATTCCATTCCTTTAATATATTTACAGACACACGATCAACATACACAAACCAACACACACGCACACACACACGCGGACATACACACAAAAAAACATATACACATACAAACACGCATACACACACACACACTAACACTTACAAACCAAAACATACACATAAACATACATACACACACACTAACACTCGCAAACAAACACATACACATACAAACATACATACACACAGTAACACTCACAAACAAAGACATACATATAAAAACACACACACTAGCACTGCCATACCATGAGCTGTGGTGTTAGTCTCTGCGCATCGGAACTCAAAGGATCGATCAGTACCACTACGGTGTGCAAATGGCCATTTGCGACGTCCTCGCGTTGCAAATTAATTAACGACAATCCAATACCATCTAGCTCCGGCGCTCCATCCCGAACCACAGACTCACCACCGAGTAGCGACTGACAGCGTACAAGAGCATCACTGATGCTTGCAGCTGATTGGCTGCTATTTTCGTCCTCAAGTATTCCCTTGATTTTATTGCCCCATTCCAAAGTGTCTCGTTCTACCTCGATAAAGTCGGCGGTGAGGAAGCTTCCGGCACTTGTGACAGGGCCGATGATCTAAGGGAAAACGTAACGGGGTGAATAAACGTAAGGGCTGTTTAAGGCAGGTCTCATAACGTAAAACGAAATTACGTATAAAATCATTTCGTAAACGTCAAAACGTAGTACGTCTACGCTGTATATGGGTTACATTATGAGCCCTGGTTTAAGGTAAAAAAGTGGATGGGTATTTGTAATCTGTGGATGTTGTCTATCTCTCACAACGGAGCACGATTACGAAGGTAAATGTGAACATAAACTAGGGGGTTTTTTTTTGCAACGACGCACACTTATATTGGTGTTCTTAATTGTCAGCCATCCACATGTGCACATACAAATGTATGGGCGGAGCACGATGCGACGCAGATCAATGGAGTATAGTCCATGTACTTAAATTACCCAATCTCACTTAGTAGATATACACTATCACAAATCTCATTACGTATGACTTAAATTACCCAATTACACTTAGTAGATATACACTATCACAAATCTCATTACGTGTGTACTTAAATTACCCAATTTCACTTAGTAGATATACACTTTCACAAATCTCATTACGTATGTACTTAAATGACCCAATTTCACTTAGTAGATATACACTATTACAAATCTCATTACGTATATACTTAAATTACCTAATTTCACTTAGTAGATATACACTATTACAAATCTGATTACGTACACGCCCCCAAGTGTCCCTAAGTGTGAATGTATATCATCACACACCCATCAACCGGTGTGAGCAAACACCGATTCTCCCAACCATACGAATACGCAGGCATATGAACGCAGCAGCCACACCTCACGAGTACTTGTACAGGCCGTGTTCCACATAGACTGCATATAAGAAACATACATGTCATTCAGACAACCCATCTCAACACACCACACAAACATACCCTTCCATTGACCACAACAAATGAGTGACCCAGGCCACGGCCCTCTAGTAGCACCTGTTGCATGTCCCTCCTGTCCTGTTCCGTGGTTTTTTTGGACACCTGCCCTGTCCGTTTTGTCGATTGTTGGACTGCCACTGTGGGCACTGAGTTGGTGCGTGAACTCTGCGTCGATGTCATCTGCACCCTCCACTTGCCTGTTGTATGTCTATGTGGTGCAACGGGGATTGTAAGGTGTGGTTGTTCGGCGTTAATGGTAGTGTGAGAACACCATAGATATACATGTATGCGTATCTGAATGGACGTACACGTTGAAATTGTGTAAATATGCGTGTATTGTGACGCGCAACGGCAGTTAAAATGCTAATTGGACAATTGTCAAGGTAAGCTTTGTATTATACATATACATGTATGCATTTGAGATATATAATTAAAATATAT